CCTACCCATGTACCAGCACCCTCACCTCAGCAACTATCAATACTCCACTGCATGTCACCACTCACAACTTCATACACTGTTACTTGAATGTGTCTTTATTGGATTCAACATTCAGTGTACACATCTGCCTTTACCTCTGTGGGACATTATTAAAGACTACTGGCTGAACTCTTGGATTGCTGCTGTTTTTCTGACAGAAGACTTGGGTCAGACTTGTGTTTGCCAGCATATCAAAATATCAACACATATCTCACAGTGTGCATATTTCGCTTTCCAATGAATGTTAAATACATTTTATTTTAGATCAAAACCATGGACTTGCAGTCTATACTATCTGTTTAATTACTCGTATAGCCAGGTAACAGCACAACTAGCAAGTCTACACATTTGTCTCCTGGATTTTTTTGGCGGAGAATCTGACAGAGCAGTAAAGACGTTGTTGCCATCCTGTGACATACTTAAGTTAAAGCACATGTCTTTATGTACTCTAAGCAGGTGTCAAGTGCAACTCTTTGACCTATACTTTTCTCCCTGAGCCCACAGTGCTGAGCTGACATGAGCCGAACCTCAACCACTGCAGTACTCGGTTTTGGCCAGAAGAGTGCACTGTTCTTCTGAGCGGAGGTGCCTGGTTTCAGATGATAAGGACTTGTTTTGTATTGTGCAAAGAAGAAAAGAGGATGTTTCTGGCCATGTGGTACTTTAAATGTACTCCAAACTCTACCTGTTGTAGGACTTACTATTAGACATTATACATGATTTGCTAAGCAGCCAAGCACAGTTTTAAACAAACTGTTGTGGCACAGCAGCAAGTGGAAGATTAGTCTACAGGGTAGGCTGAGTACAAACCTGCAACTGAATCATTACAACACATCCTCTGCTGTAACTGGAGCTAGTTCCAACTGATCCACAGTGAAAGGTCACTGCGGACACATGACATTATGGTGCAGTTGCAATGTTTCAAGACAGTTCTAAGGATTTTAAACCTGACTATGACGTCAAAGTGTCCAACTTTAACTTTTAAACGTGTTTACGTGTGCTCACATGTTTTGAGTGAACAACCTCAGTGTTTCTGTGCAGGACTCATTGCCCTTTTATCTATTAAAGGGTGGGGTTCTCAGCTGTGGTGAACTTTTTATATCTAGACTGTTCATGAAATGGGTTGATGTAAACAACCTTGACCACTGTTTTTTTCTTTTTTTCTGAGTCAAATGTGCGCAGCCAACAGAGCAGCATGTGTCACTATCACTACACATTACCATACATGACCTTACTGCACATAAAATACATCACTTGATAAGAATTTGGGGCCAAATCTGCTGCGTACATGATTGAAAATGAAAATTAAATCAAGTACAAAGAGAAAGTATTACTTGAAAAACAGGTTATTGCACTATAATTCGGCGGTTATGTAAATGCAGAAGCACTCTAGTAAACATGCCTTCGGTTTCAAGGCCCCCAAACTGTGGAAACTCCACATCAGGCATGAACGTCAAATGCTTTGGCTTTGGAATAGACTTGTGATCATGTCGGATCAGAGACTCACTAAAAAGATCTGTCATCCCTCGGCTAACGAATTAAAATCATTATTTTATTTGAACAACTTGCCATTTATTTTTCAGAACAGGTTACTTTGTGATATTAAGGAGATTAGGAGTGAAATGTTTCGCATGTTGAGAGAAAAATGGTCTGCTGACACGTGGTATAAACCAAAAAACCAACAAACTTATTGTCTCATAAAGAACAGCTACAGCCTAGAAGCTTTACATAAAGTATAATCTCGACAAAAGACAAAGATCCCTGTGTACATGGTTGCGCTCAGGAATGCTACCATCAGCCTCAGAGACTGGAGGGTTTAACGCCACCCCAGAGGAGGACAGAATTTGTTTGTTGTGTAATTTAAGTGAAGTTGAGAATGAAGTTCACTTCTTGTTTTACTGTCCCGTATATGAAGACAAAAGGAAAGCACTTTTCAGTAACATGACCTCTGTCGTTGATTTATTTTGATCATGACAACATTGAGTTTTGTTTTAGAAAGGGAAACTTTTTTGTGGCTGAATGTCTTTGCCAGGCCTGGGATAATAGTTCAATAACATGTACTTCTGATGGTTACTGCAACGTCATTGTGATGGTGTTTTGTAAACCCATGAGGGTTGGGCACATGTAAGTGTGAATGACACACATAAAAATCATGAATTCATTTAAAGGCCCATCTTTTTAATACAGCTTTTAATTTGGAGTGATATTACAGCCTGAATTTGAAGATTTAATAATTAATTTAATATTAATTAAATAAATTTAATTCGATAATTGTTTTTTTTACTTTATTTTATCCCGTGTGTTTATTTTATTTTATTCTATAGAATTTTTTTTAATAGATTTTTTAAACTGTATCACTTTATTGTTGTAATTTTTACTTTTTTTTATTGGTTTTTTAAACTGTATCACTTTATAGTTGTAATTTTTACTTTTTTAAATAGTTGTCTGTATTATTCTTTATTTTTTTGGCTGTGTAGTTTCGGTTTTATTGTGTGAAGCACACAGGGCTGAATCTTCTTGGCTGAAAACAATCTTAGGAAGTATGTAGTTTTTTTGAATAAATAAAACACTATTGCAACTATGAGGCAACTCTTGAATCTATGGTTGACTCATAAAACGTTACATTCAAATACTATCGATCAACCCGAGCACTGTAAAATGTCATCAGTTCACAGTCTGATGCAAATTTTGTTACTCAACCAATTTTTTTTCCCTCTCAAGAAGTAAGAACAGCCACAGAAGTTTCCTGTACAACTGTTGCAATCTTATCTTAACCACGTGTTTAACAACAGCAGAGAGACGCACTATCACACGGCAGACATTTATTGCGTGCCATGTAGTGAACGCAACTTTAAACCATGTCTGGAAGTCAATGTTTGGATCCAATGTGGCACTGTGAACCCAGTTGCCATTAAAATGCAATCAGGGAATATGGGAGACACGCACAAGCTATTTTCAAACTAATAATATAAATCATAATGTTTTTATTTTAGGTAAAGGAGTCTGAGATTTCAATTATACACAATTAGGCCAAGAACCACGTGTTGTCATGGTGCCACAAGGCAGTGCTGAGATTTACTCACTCCAATCACTGTTACATGTAAAGCTGAGACCTGTGATATAAGCTGTAAAAAAGGATTTGCAAATACATAAAAGAAACCAACCAATCAATATACCACACTCAAGCTCATCCACTGACACGCAACATATACATTTGAACATCTATTGCATATATTTGTATATTTCAACAGATACGGCTCAAGAGGATTTCCTTTTTTGAAGTTTCTGTCACACAACTTCCTTTATACTACACAGGATGTACAAAACACTGATTAGCATCAAGAGCTCTGAGAAATCTGACAAAGGCTCACAAATTCTGACTTTTTTATCACCACAATGATCTTAATTATTGGCTTATATCCTCATGTAAAAATAAGATCCCACTAACGGCAAGAACAGGGTGTAAAGATGCCGTGAGGGACTTTTCTCTTGGTATTTAGCTCCATTGTTTTCTATGAATAGCCATGGCAGAATAACGTGCCTGTTGTCTGTCAGCGTTGGGTGTGATCTGGCTGTCTGATGCCCGGTGACTCAGACGCACAAGGCAAGGCCATGAGGAAGTTAAACTGCTTCCTCTGCCTCGCCGCCGGACTTGTTTTGAACAAGGTTGCGGTCAATAAAAAACAGTATTTGAAAGCATTAAACTATCTGAGCGTATCTTCATGTTCCTCATTCAGAAACATTTTCTTATTGGCAGCTGGAGAGGACACGAGTTTGATACCGAGCACTCCATTTAGCTTTTGTGTTTTTGCGGTGTAGTCAGAGGTTTGCAGTGCAGGTGAATGTTTTTCACAGTGCATACTGTTGTGCATGTGCCACCTTATAGCAAATCCCATAGCTGAAAGTGCGCTTTAGTAGAAAGCGGCGCAAAGAAGGGCGGGAGTGATTCAAAGGTGTGAAAACCGCAGGATATCTGTTAGTACACAATACTTGAGCATGTGTTCAGCAACTTCTGATTCAAAGTTTGTGAGCAGTTAGGGTACTGATGGGGACACGGTTAGACTCACTGAATTTCTGAACACTTTTTCTTTTTCTAAAGTATAAATTTGGGGCATTTTGCCTTTAATTGATAGTACAGCTGAAGATGGACAGCTGCAGCTGCTCCTCCTACACTCTAAACCATAGCCTACACTTGTTTGCTGAGGTTTGTCGACCCTGTGGCATCAATATACCCACACCACAGGGAGCCACTGGTGATTTGTAACGGAAAAATATTATTACACATGAAATCAGTACTGATAGGTCTATGACACACGGCAGTGCTTGAAGGTAAAAGGTACATTGCTGTTTATCTTTCAGAGAAATCATAACTTAGAGTGAAAGGAGTGGCTTTCCTTTTCTGAAAGTCACTCTGAGCTCAGAGCAACAAAACAAAGGTGCTTCTGAAACAAGAGGGAAGTTCCTCATTTCGCCGTCACATATTTGCATAGTCTACAGGGAAATTAATCTGAAACTTGTAAAGCATCTAAATTGGAAATAAGGATTATCAAAAAGTGAAATGAGTGATGTAATTTTTGTGCAACTGTTGTGATTTAGTGTGCGATTCAGGGGGTCTTTGTACCAATATAACAAGGGAGGTGTCTGACAGAAGCAACTCTGGAACTTGATCTCATCCGGGCAGGTGAAGCCACATCCTCCAGAGAGTGAACACATGGCATGCTGTACGAAACCTAGATCTTCCTTTCCCAAAATATGTCACAGATGGCTCAACCCCCACAGCTTTATCAATCACAAAGGCTGAAATGAAATATTACTCACGTCACTAAGATGTTACGTGACTGTTTGGATGCAATCAGTGGGTGTTTCAAAAGAGTGCGTTGACATAGGAGGTTTGAAAGGTTTAGCAAAAGTAAGACGGGTTAGAGAGATGTGCTCACTCACTAGCAGAGAGAGAGAGAGAGAGAGAGAGAGAGAGAGAGGGAAAGACAGAGCTACGACAGGATATTTTGTCACTATGGTTACTGGCAGCAGATACGGATCTTGATTTTTGTGTGTCATGCTGTTCTCGTTCAGGACTGTGCGGTTGTAGCGCTGGCAGGACAGCCCTTATAATTAACCTTGGCATGAGAAGTGACATGTTTTGTGGATCAATGTGACTTCAAATCTGCCGAATCTGTGAGGTATCTTCCATCTGTGAGGTAAGTGTCCTTTCCAAGCTGTGCTCTTTTAGAGTGGGAGTGAATCATTCATCCTAACATAAACAGAATCTCGTGGGGAGTGTATGTGCCTGTACAATTTAGCTTGTGATGGATTAATGTTGTGAAAATTGTGCTTTATTCTTGCTTTAAACTACATATTAATGTCTAGAAGCTAACGGCAAATCATCACACCTCTACAAACTACATCCTGGGTAGTTTAAACTTAATGAATATTTGTTTTTTTAAAAAATAAATTGGCTTCTATGAGGGAAAGTCAGTGCTAAAAATACACATTAGAGTGAAAGGAATCAATCACACTTACAACACCCACAGTTAGACGCAAACCACTTTCCCAACAGTTGAAGTGTTACTGAAAATATAGTATATTTATGACATGAAATTGCTAGATTTACGTATATATCTTTATTTTAATACAAAAGTCAATTGAAAAGTAGTGAATTTTTGCCCCAAATACCCTTTCACTTGTGTTAACGAGCCAGGAAACATGTTCCTTCCCTGCACCATGTGCGCGGGCAGATAGCCTCAGCTATAATTTTGGTTCAAACAATATGACTTTCCAACTGCCTACCATTCAAAGGCAGAGTACCCTCGGGAAGCGGACTTCCTCATAGACAAGGTCCGTCTCTCAATGCCAATTTTTTTCACAGTTCAAGTGTGAGAGTGCCGCAGCTGTATTCAGACTCACAGTAAAGCGTAAAATGGTATTGTTCACAGACTTCCTTCGTGTCACTTTTAGCCACAAATGGCATGAAAAAAAAAAAACAGCTATGTCCTGTGAGTCAAATACAGAGTGGCTGAATGACCTACTAACTGGAGGATGGTAGCCGTGTCTCTCCCGACTCCTCTGTTGTCATCTTCATGTGTAAACAGGTTGAAAATTTACTCAAAATTATCAAAATTATGCTTTGACAACCAGAATCATTCATTGTGTCTTTATATTTAAAACTATAAATGTGTTGTCCAATAATCAGAGCTTCAGTCACACACCAGAGCAAATCAAATCTGATCTGTTTTTTATCTTGAACTTGTTTTGGTTGAAGAGATGTGAAGGGTTGATTGTGCGAAGTCTTGGTTGGAGAAACTGAGGCAGAAGTCAAGTTTTGGTGTCTGCTAGGCATTACTTAAAAACAGCCACACGATGGCACCATACACCACAAAATCACTTCTGTTTCACAGGGCAACTCGCATCCCATCACCTGACTGTCAGTTACTGCTGATAACACAGCTGAGAGTTCCCCAAAACTGCTAGAAACCAAAACAAAATAGCACTTCAAAGAAACCGTCTCAGTTGTTACAGGTAGACACTGTCAGGTTATTTTCTGTAATGAAACAACCAGAGAGTGCGGGTAGAAATGACAAATACTGTAACTTCTTTTACTTCCTTTTTGAAAGCAGTGTCTTGTGAAGGTGGCACTGGGGGACAGAAAAGTTTCATTTCAACAAAGGCACACACTAAAAACAAAATGGTGCTAAACAGTACCCAAAATAGGTTGTTTGGTTTGCTGTGCAGCACCTTTTTCAAATAGTGTTATAAAGAGCCATTACAGGTGCCATATAGCACCTTCATTCAAATACTCAATTATTTTAGCTGGACTTCACAATCTAGTTGGCCTCTCTGGTACAGAGAACTTTATGTAACAATGGATAAATGTTCATCAAAAAGCTATAACATGTATTGTGGGGTCCCCCAGGGTTCAATTTCGGGTCCAACCCTTTTTAATCTTTACATGCTGCCACTTGGAAACGTCATATGGAGGCACGGCAACAATTTCCATAGTTATGCTGATGATGTATTGTTGTATCATTTTTATTGTGTGTAATACTTTGTGTTGCATTCTGTTTGTGTGAAAATTATTCATCATTTCTTAATATATGTTACCTTAAAAGATTCAGAATCCAGTACTAAATGCTTAGGAAGAAAAACAGTACCTTACCTTTTCAAACCTAAAATATTCCAGTGCACATTCGGGCAAAATAAATACACTGTTTGCGGGCTATTTAAATGTAGTTTTTATTCTTTCCCTAATAAACTATACTAAGCTGGAGAGCCAGTAGAGAACTGTTAGAGCAGTGGTTCCCAACTGGTCCAGCCACAAGGTCCAGATTTCTCTTTAGTCATTAGTTCATAGTCCACTCAGTTTAATAAACTCAGCAACATACTTGTGTTTAGACATGTCATCAAGCCAGTTTGCTGTCTCTGTCAAGTAGCTGTCTGTCATTCACTCACTATAAAGCAGGAAATGGCACTTCAAAATAAAAGCTCTGTAGCAGAAATTCACTGTACTTCAAAATAAAGTTTTTTTTTCAAACTTGACACATTTGCCAGACACTTGTGGTCCATTCAGAATGGACCTGTGATCCACTTTTGGGCTGTGACCCACCAGTTGGGAACCACTGCTCTTAAAGGACACATCAGGGGCTTAAATGTTTTCTACTTGTTCTTCAGCTTAGTTTAGTTAACTGTGGAAAGAACCAGTAGAGAACCTCTAGAGAACCATACAGGGGCTGACAAAAATAAGTCCCATGTGTCTGAAGACTATATATAGTATAAGAAAATGACTGCTTCTCAGACACTACAAGGAGCACAATCAGGTACTTGGTATCTATGAACTCATAACTGAATATCAAAGATATGCACACATGCAGTTTATATATTTAAAAAAACAATCATATTGTTACCTCTTTGCCAGCTCCAAATCGTAGTTGGGAACACGCTTACTGTTTTAACATTAAATGAGCTTGGCTGGTTATTAGCTGGTAACTAGCTTCTAGCAGTCCCAACTATTCTGCAGAAGGATGGATGGCGTCATGGCGAGGCATTCAGGTGCCGCTCACTGACAATGGCTTTATTGCAGTCTTCAAGATAACAACAAACAAGGCCTTCTCATGAGCTTTAGTAGTAGTCCTGAGCTTATCTAGACACATAGTTCTGCCGACTATCATCACGCTTTGCTGCCTGCTGTCTTCACCATGACACCCACAAGAGCTGCTTCCCGCCACACACACACATCACATCCTCACTGCTTACCCACAAGGCCACCGCCCTTAAAGGGGAAAAGGGTGAGCCGGTAACAAAATGGAAAACATTTAATAAACACAATGTTAGCATTTTTTCGCATTTTTCCAAAATCCAGACTTTGACTACTGATAAAAGTGTGATTTTCCATGTGATCTAAACAAAGTTGTACTATTAGATACTTGCCTAAGGTGTGTCCGTACCAGGTTTAAGACTTGAGAAAGAAGAAAAGAAAAGAAAGGACAATGCACAATTAAATAAAAACCTCTGAGTTTAACCAAAGCATTAACACCTTTCTTTGCCTTTTTGCAGTTACTGCTTCGTAAAATATCAAGATGGGTTCTACTGCTGCACCTGTGACCTTCACCCTCTCATCCACCAACAATGACTCTAATAAGCTGACCTGTGACACCTTATATGCCCACCGGAACTATGCTAGGGTCCTCATGCCTCTTTTCTACTGCATTGTGTTCTTTGTGGGGCTGTTCGGTAACTGCCTCGCCCTCCACGTTATCCGGCCCAATCTGAAGAAGATCAACTCCACCACCTTGTACTCTCTCAACCTGGTCATCTCTGACATCCTCTTCACCCTCTCTCTGCCGGCGAGGATTGTCTACTATGCTCTGGGCTTCCACTGGCCTCTGGGAGAGGCGGTGTGCAAGATCTCGGGCCTCATCTTCTACATCAACACCTACGCTGGGGTCAATTTCATGACCTGTCTTAGTGTGGACCGTTTCATCGCTGTGGTGCTGCCTCTGCGCTTTGCCCGATTCAGGAAGGTCAGTAACGTGCGCTACATATGTGTTGGTGTGTGGCTGCTGGTCCTAGCGCAGACTCTCCCCCTTGTCGGTATGCCTATGACCAACAAGGAACCCGACGGCTTCATCACCTGTATGGAATACCCCAACTTTGAGAAGGTTGACCACATTGCCACGATACTGATCGGTGCTGTCTTCCTTGGTTATGTCGTGCCTGTGGTGACCATCCTCGTGTGTTACTCTGTCTTATGCTCCAAACTCCACTTCACAGCCAAGACCAACCATTTGACAGAAAAGTCCGGCCGGAGCCGCAAGGCCATCGGCGTGATCTGCTGTGTATCAGTAGTGTTTATCGTCTGTTTCAGCCCCTATCACATTGACATCCTGCAGTACATGATCCGCAAGCTGGCGTCGACCCCCAGCTGTGCCGATCTAACAGCCTTTCAGGTATCGCTGCACATCACCGTGTGTCTGATGAACCTCAACTCCTGTTTGGATCCTTTCATCTACTTCTTTGCCTGTAAAGGCTACAAGAGGAAACTGCGCAAGCTGCTGAAGCTCCAGGTGAGCATGTCCTTCTCCAGCGCGGCGAGGACATCACCTGAGGGCTCCTCTAAGGATGTTATTGACGGCAACAAGATCCAGCTCAACAGTTCTACTGCAGGTACAATCACTGAGAGACTCACAGACAGGAGATATTACCGGGATGAGTAAATGAGAAAACTGAGGCGCCAAGACTTACACCAAGATGAGAGGACCTTTGACATGTGGGCCTTTTTTAATGAACACCAGTCACACAGTGTCTCAAACAAATTGGTCTGGACATTAAAATGGACTCAACTGTATCATCAGGGATTCTAGAAGCTACTCACCATCTGGATCCATTGAAAAACAGCTATTTTGAATGCAAAGATTTGTTTACAGAAGTTTTTTAAAAGAACGAATGTTTGCGTATTTTCTTATTAGAGTTGGTGAATTTCTCAGGAAAGCAGAGAATACTGCAGCTAAGGAAAGAAAGGAGGATACTCTTTCCAGAAAGCCAGCTTGCCTCCTGTAGACTGAGCATTGATCAGAAAGAGCATGAAGCAGAGCATGTTCGAAGTGGACTGTTTCGTTAACATACCCACATTCAACTTTCTACAGACTGGAAAAAGTAGTGAAAGCTCAGCTCATGTACAGAATGTTAAGTGTGAAGAGTAAACTCACCTGAAGAAACTTTTTGAAAGCAGCAACATAATATCTGCAACTAGACAACGACCTCCAGTCCTCAGTTACTTGTAAGGCAGAAGTTTCATTCCAAAATGAAGTCAGACTCAGGTTTTCGCCTCAAGTGTCAGCTCAGCACACAGCTGTATTATCTCAGGAAACTGTCTACCAACGGAATTAACCTTAATTGGTTGGAAGAGAACCACATTTGTTTGTTTCAACATTGATTTCCTCATGTTAAAAGTGGGTGTGGCCCATGATGTCATTTAATTTAAAGGGGCCATGTTGAGTTTTTTTTTATAAACATACAGCAGTTGTGTTTACATTCAGTGTTATTCATTGTAATGCAATCTGGATATTTTTGAGGTCTTATAAATGGGATAAGTGCATTTCATTCCTCATTAAACATTTGCAAAGCCAGTTCTAATTACTTTGGATTCAGCATTATTTACATCCATGTCTGCCAGCTCACAGACATCGTCTTCCTTGCCTTTGCTGGTGCGATGCTGCATATATTGGCGTCTTATCGCCTGTTGTTGACCGGTGGAATTGTGTGACATCATTTGTAGGACTGTGTGTGCACAAGATAAACAAGACAGAGACCCGCTCAGAGACCCAGAGGAAATAAGGAGCAACAGAATAAATCAGCAGGAGTTCTTTTGCTGCGATTCTCAGAGGTTTCTCAACTCTACGAACAGATATAATACAGACAAGAATTTGATCACTGAGACCTTTCGCGGTGGCATGATACATGAGCAGTCGCAATTATTGTGTAACAGCATCCAGCGGTGTCAGGGGGAAAAGCAGCCGGTCAACAACCCAAGTTAAGGGGGCAGACGTTCAAGTGGGGTGGGTGGGAGCGGTGGTGGATGGGTCCAACAACCAGCAACATTCACTCGTGACACTGGTGTTTGCTTCCTGTGTGATTGTAAAGCCAGACCCTGCTATATTTTACAAAACCCAAACATGTGCTTTTGTGCCTTAACCCAACCACGTGCTTGCGTTAGCTAAATGTGACTATGTACATTTGTTGTTGAAGGAAAAAAACGTCACTTTGCAGTGTTGCACCGACAAAGTGCTTTTATTTTGAAACAAACTGTAAATTTCCTGTGAAATCATAAGTGTATTTTGAAAACAGACAATGCATGTAAATGGACCTGCTGAGAACCACACATCCAAACAATTGGACACTACGCTTCCTTGGGAGTGTACGTGTCATTTGCTGAGAGCTAGCTATTTAGGACTACGCCATTTCCTGGAATAAAAGCCTTCATTACAAAACTTGTATCGCTGATGCTTGAAATGTTTCAGTTTGACCAGACTCAGAATTATGTCTGTCGAATTGCAGTTGCACTTGTATAGCGCCTTTCTAGCCACCCAACCACTCAAACCACTTTTTACACTACGAGTCCTATTCATTCATACGCTGGTGGCCGAGGCTACCATACAAGGTGCCACCTGCTACTCAGTTTTTAACATACTCACACATCAATGGAACAGCCATTAGGAGCAATTTGGGGTTCAGTATCTTGCTCAAGGATACTTCGACATGTAGGCTGAGGGAGCTGGGGATCGAACCGTTGATCTTTTGACTGGTGGACAACCCGCTCTAATTCTGAGCTATGCAACAGGCTGAGGTAAACATGGAATCCCAGATTGTCAACAACCAACTCACTTAGGGTACTTTGCACCTCATATCTGGACGTGAAAAGTCCATGACCAAACATCAAAATGTGACAAGGTCAGAGTGAAAATGTGTTGCTGAGAATTTCTGAAATTGTAAGGCATCAAGTTTTCTTTTGGCTCTTTCTCGTATCTCAAGAGCTGACTACTTTAGACAAATAAAGATTACTGCAATGAGATAGGCAATGAGAGAGGCAAAAGAGCACTTTAGGATCGGGCTGAGACAAGAGGAAGGCTATTTCTCAGGACCTGAATTTAACAGGTATAAGAAAATGGTCAAAATCTCATTTTGATGTCATACTGAGCTCAGTTATGACTAGGAGAAATAGGCTGGACAAAGAGCAGATTTTTTTTTTGAATTTTCCCTTCCTCTGGGGAGATTTAGCAATATTTTCACTTCACCTTAAAAAGCTCCTGCTGCACTTTGTTTAAAGGTTACTCAATTGTCAAATGTCATCATTGTTCAATCCGATGCATCTTCTTGGAATGTTACTTGTATGGGAGACATTTTATTTAAACACCATCCATGCTCAAACCTGCTTGCAGTGATCATTTACTGTCTCAACCATTTCTACAATTCTCTGAGACGGTCATGTAATGAGATCAGGTGGGTCAATCCTGGTTTAGTCACATAGGGAGTTCCACAGGGATTTATACTGGGGCCCGTGCTGCTCTTCATTATCATTTTATCTCAGTTCTACTGTCATCAATGTAGGCAGCACCAAAAAAGTATAAAAATGACTTTTTTGTAACATGACAACTGTGGTTAAAATGCAATAGGTTATAAATGATATTTATATCCTAAATAAATATACAATATTGATCCAAAGATAACATACAAAAGCTATGAAAATGCAGTGCAGACAAAACCCTAATCTGAGATGTTTCTGCCAACATTTTACAAAATAAATTGCTTATTTCTCTCTCCAATGTTTGTATAACGATGCAGCTACAGTATGGTTAAGGTGTGGTTAAAGTTAAGGGCTAGATTATGGTTATGGCAAGCAACTATGGTAGAAGTCAGGCAAATACTGCAGGCAATTTGGGGTAAGCAAAAGCATGTGGTTATGGTTTTTAAAAACACAACTGCTTGGTCTTGAGCAGAATGAAAACTGATCCTAAACTGGTGTTTCCACCACCTCCGCAACACTACTTTACTCTTAGGTACATAGAGGCCACAGCCTCTGCACGTTCCCTGAACTTTGGTGGCAGATGTAAATCATGCACTGCAGAAGCATCCAATAAATATGAATATGAACAGAATTCTTGGGGAAAACCAGGCTGGTATGGCACAATGTGCTGTCAAATGCAATAACCGGTAAAGTCAGTAACTCATAGACCTACACAGAGCAGGTGTGAGTGTGTGTACCTACAATCTGCAGTCTGATTGGCTATAGAAAGAAACTTTTTTTCATTTTATTGTCTGTTTTTCAATGTGGGTGGTGCATATGGTATTTCCATAAGATAAACCTTTATTCATGCCTTGAATGGAATTTGGTAAGTGTGCAGTTAATGCTCTTTTTGATGTTAAATTAGTACTTTAGAGTAGGTTGGCTCTCAGTTCTGTATTTTGAGGAAGTCATTTATAGACATTAAGCAGCCTTTTCTTTTAGGCTCCTTGGTTTATTTATCGTTTGTCTCTGAGGTTGCTGAGCACAGCTACTCACCACTACATTCATTATGGTGAGGTTGGTTGGTGTGTCTAAGACACAAAATAACAACAGGGCAGTTATTTAATGTTGTTATTTACAAACCAAGCTGTTACTTGGTTACATCTTTACCGCATTATGGAAAGAACAAAACTGAGCAAAACTGAAACAATATGCATCTCAACCTTTCTTTATGTGTGATCACACTCGTACATCTGGAAGGTCTCAGCAACAGATGGCACGGAAACAAGACACAGGTGAAGATAGAGCCAAGTAACAAAAACCACCGGAGAAAAGTTCATCAGAGTTCAGTTCATCATGTTGATGGCAAAGCTCATCAACCAGCTTAACCACTACCAAGGCTACAACGAAACCGCAGAGTTTGCACTGCACAGAATAAAGCTGAGTACACCCTGCTTGTAACAGTATAAATACTAGTACAGGTGTAACAGGGTAGTGTTAAGTATCATAATTACACAAAATCTGGTTCAGTTGTTATTACCTGACACTCTTAGGCCCCATAGTCAATATGTGGAACGTTTGATAACTAGTTTTTGTATCCCTACGTCCACCTTTGGGGGCACCCCACCTCTAAAAGGATGTCTCCCGCCTTGCCTCTCCCCTTTTGCTGTTGTGCTCCATGGGAGAGGTAAGCGACATTGCTCTTGTGTTTGCATGGTTGTGTTTGATGGAGGATTTTGTTTTTGCCACTTGCTGTCGGGAATAGATAGAAGATACCAACGGTCTGGGCCTCCTCATATCAACACAACGCAGACAGCACTAAAGTCTACCGGTCACATAGGAACAAGAACTGGAACTGGAACTGGAACTGGAGTCGGTTACAGTTTTTCTCAATTGTACAGTTTTTCTCAATTGTTCGGACACATTTGTCCATTCAGAAGTTTTCGAAACAGTTCACACACACAGGCCTAAACTGAAAATCTCTGGCCATAATGACACTCACTCTCACACTCACAAAATATTTCCATCACGTAACACATCTTGTGGTTACATGAATATGTTCTTTCAATCAATCATGACACAATGAAAGACAAACTACAAAATAAAATTATGAATATGAGCCAGTCCTGTCCAACCTTATTTTCTGCAATATGCCTCTGCCATTTGTTGACTCGTTGCATGGTTACAGCATGTGTCGCAAAAAGCAAGCGAACATATACACAGCATTGTCTTCTCCAAAGATGATTTTAGCAAGAGATAATAAACCCTGCTGCAGTCTGCGCCCACACTTTTCACACGTTCCGACATTCCCTGTTGAAATACTGTAAAAAGACATTTTATAACAAAGTTTTCATTGTTTATGTCATTCTTGTGTGCAGTTTTTTTGTGACCTTCAAGATGTAACGCGTACAGTAAGCACTTAGAGTATGACCTGTATTGCACTAGAAGATGGTGCAGCTTTTGTGCTGCAATCTTTATTTACAAAAGAACCAGTAAAGAATGCAACCTAAACTCAGAAATATATATATATTTTTGTTGTGCTCAATCAGATTTTTCCATGTCAATATTTTTGGCTGGAGCACTACAGCCATATAGGTTTTGAACCAATCTTATTCCAAACTCAGAAATGCTAAATAATGGCCTCTTCCTCTCCTTACATGCATTTTCCCTCTTTGATTCATGCTTGCAAACAGCAACAGAGAGGTGACATCTTTCATAGACGGATACACACTGATTGCTGATTGAAGAATTGTGCAAAGTTTCTCACAGGCGCATCACAGATTCATAATTCTGCACGTAATTTCTATAAGCTGTAAACAGATGTTTCCTTTAGTTTGACACAGTAAGCCAAGAGTTTAAAATCTTTCTATGAGATCTGTGATATCTGTTTTGTAAAAGGGTGTGCAAATGTGTGAAACCAATGAAAAGGTGTCAACACATTTGTAAGAGAAGACATCTGCTGCGCTGAGGACGTGATGATGGTGATCAGGTGGATCCCTGTTTCATAAAGTGTGTTTTAGCAATTGTAAAAAACTTTATGATTTGATAGGAACTGTCTTGATAATCAATCAAGTGAAGTTATTTATGGAAACAATACCAAATATAGCTCCCAATTATGAGCATTTGCTGCTTTTCGTTCTCTTATGGGATAGAAAATTTAAATATCTTCGGGTTTTGCTCTGTTGGACAAAATAAGACATGTCAAAACCTCTTTGGTAATTAGTTATGGTGATCAATTTTTGGTATTTTATGATATTTTAAAAAACAAACTGTTCAGTGATGATCAAAAACATAATCAGCAGATTAAACGACACTGAGGTTATTCGTTAGTTGAAGCACTTACAGAAAAGTCACAGTGATTTCTCTGGAACACCAAGAGGTGCTAAAGTACTATTTTTCTGTACTGTAGGTCTGGTCCATTACATCAGAAATATTTCCACATACATGCACACACACACACACACACACACACACACACACACACACACACTTTTAAACCTTTGAACCCTTTCTGTTTCTCTTTCAAATTAACGCAGTAAACACTACAGAGTATTAATAGATTTTTATTTGCATCTCGACGCCTTCGTATGATTTATTCAACCTTTTTTTTATTTTATTGTATTAAAATCGTTCCCTTGCTGATAGTCTAGCCACTTGTATTGCAACGAACACTGTATTTCACACATATAATTGCCATCTGCTTCATCGCTCCCCTTTCTTCTATCACCTGATTTCTTTTGGGGATTAAAGGGAAGTAATTGTTTTAAAGGGACGAGCTGGAGGCATCTGAGAATTTAACACAACCTATCTATTTATCTGAAACATGGCTATAAAATGAGTTCATATTTCTGCAGTTTAGATTGGGGTAACTTTTTCTGCATTTCTTTTTACTTAAAGTCCCTCACCATTAAAACAAGGTGTTTTGCTCATTGTGACTTCAGTCTGACCTTCACTGTGCAGAATGATGAATGTGCAGAGTTTGACACTCAAGGGCTGTTTATGCATTCAGGAGATGAAGTTTCTCCGCTGACTTTAAAACTGAGTTTAAGATGCATACGTGCAAGCGGTTTTGTGACATCACAACTAGAAGTCCAACTTTTTCAAATTAACAATATTTTATAGATTCCAGATTTTTCAACAAGGGAGAAGGACCCAGCCAACATGTGTATGTGGGGCCCATTTGGGTTGTAAATGGGCGTTAAAATGAGCCATATACAGGATTGTCCACAGGTTCCATATTTGCCACACGCCAATTGCCCACACAGGTGGGTTTACCCAGATAAGATGCTCATTTTTGGTCTATACCCACTTGGTACCTAGGTAGTCCTACCATAACCTATGTGGGGCCCACTTGGGTAAACCCACCCATGTGGGCAACTGGAATGTGGCCACTATGGAACCTGTGGGCAATCACATATAGGGCCCATTTTCAAGCCCATGAACAACCCACATGGGCCCCACTTACAAATGTTGTGTGGGGAGTGGATGTAAATCTAATTTTCAACACTTTAACTGAACCATTTTTGGTGGAAAAAGTCATAGCACACAGGTGCTGAAAAGGGGACGCAAACAGAACAACCCATTAAAATATCACTGTGATACAATTCTATGCTTTTTTGTTGTATCTGAAAACACTTCAATTCACTTTCTGCTTTTATTGCTACTGTTAAAATATAACCTAATACATCATAGCCTACTCTAAATTGCACAAATGCTAATTATGTTACAGACTTATCGAGGTCAGCAAAAATGATCGAGGTCATGACCATATATTGTATGATATTGGCCTTGTGTTTACTTGCCTGTTTGTTTATATTACCATCAACATTTTAACCAACATGATGGCGCAATAAACAGCAGGGTTTGGCTGTATATTACCTGTTAAGGAATTACTCTCTACACCCATGTGCCAAATATTTAATAAGTATTTAAGTGCAATTTTTAACAGAGGCTGAGAGTCCATTTTATTTATTATTTTGTTTGTGTGGCTTTGTTTAATTCCTTCAATATTTTAATTATTAATTTTTTTATTTTTATTTTTTATCTTTATTTTGAACATAAATAAAATAGAACAAAATGTAGGTGATCAATAAGGTAATCAGTCATACAAAAAAAACAAAACAAACAATCATAGTAACAGAGGTAAATATTTAGCGTTTGAAAAGGAGTAGGTAGAAGTTATCACTTATCTTGACCTACCCCTTATTTCAAGTAATGTTGCTACAATTAAATATAGATTCGGAGATGCACATTAGCATGCATACATACATAATCAAAGAAATACAATCACAAATGCAAGTTGGAATACTTCTGGTTCTGACTATATGTAAGTGTTAAAAGTTAATTGCTCTTTGAGAGGGTGTTTTTACGTTATTATGCTATTATATTATAATTCTATCAGTGGCATAAAATGGTCTTAAATTGACAATAACATCCTTTATTGCCATTATTTCTGAGACAATATAATGTCCATTAACAGTAGTTATCAAAACAGACCTAACTTGCACAAATAAGAATTTCTATTTCAAGACAAATCAATTATTAGACACTGTCTGCTTCCCAAACCTCTGACAATTTTGTAGTGATGATTTCTGGCCTCTAGAGGACAGTGTGAAACAGGGGAAAGAGGTGATGGTAAGGGAAGTTAAATGAGCTTCTCACAGGCACAGAGTAACAGATCTAAATATTAACAGACACAACAAGAGTATCAATTCATCTTTCTTTGTTTGATGTTAAACACAAGTGGCAGAAAATTAAATTAAGTGATTAACAAGTGTACAAAAAGACAGAAGATAAATATATGTGTGAGCATAAATGCACTTATGTGGTTATGTATTTACATATTATGCAGGTAAATAATAAAAGACCAAGGGTTTATTGTGGAGTGGAGGACTTGCGGAGGCACGACAAGTATCAAAGAGAGAAAAACATCACACAGACTGTTGTCATAACAACATATTGCAATGAACACAAAGTACCATATGGTATGAGATTTTTAAGACACATCGAGAGGACAAGCCGATAGATAATTATATCCCGGGAATAAGAATTAGACTGAATGTGCAGCTCCCATATAAACACTGTGATAAAAATAAGCCAAAGAAGTTCAGCATCATCAAAACAATACACAAGACAAATATATAACCTTTTATGGAGGGCGAATACAGCAGCAGACGAAACGCTGTAGATCGTGGGAATGTGCAATTTACTCTATTTCATAAGATCTATAATGGGAATGGAAAGTACCAGTTAGAAGATTAGGGGAAGAAGTTTTGATTGCACAATGTTCTTTGAGCTAAATGTCCTAATTCATAGTTGTTACCAGCTCACACACACATTAATCACACGCATTAATCTGTATTCAATCCGGGTCCAGACTGACCTTGAGCTTTTCACCTGAGGTATGCGCTTTGCATCCATTAAGTCGACGTGGTGTAAAACCATCTCACAGCATCAGCGTGAAGTGTCTATTACCACCGTCTTATTTCCTGTTTATATGGCAACTGCCTCAACATCCTGTTTTTAATTACTTCTCTCCAGCAGCAGATGCTTCTCACAGCAACCTGCTGTGGATTACTCCCCTGAGAACTAATGTGCTGTGACAGACCCCACTTTTCCAATCAATAACTCGCCCTAAATCTGCCATCTCTCTGCCTGCCAAACACACTCCCACTTCTAATGGCACATCATTTTCTTTAAGGGGGTGTAATTGCAGACTGTGGAAAGCTGTAGCCCTTTGTGTTTCCAACTACGCAGATACTGTAAAGGAATCTAAAGTACAGAAACTACAGCTCACGGCCGAGACAGGAAGCCATGGGGGCTTTACACCGAGCGCAGTCTCGCCACCATTTCCATCACATTACCCTTTGAGAAAGCATTCACTTCCCTGTTTTGGCTGAGTGCTCAGATAAATCGCTGTGCCGCTTCATAAACCTGTTGGCGCGAGCTTGTCAAGATGTTTGTCTGATTTTTTTGTGGTAAGTGCAGTCTTTTATTGTTCAGGCAAAGCTACCTGAACTGTTTGACCTTTAAGATGGATGGGGGAAAGTAAATTTGGCAGACATGTGCTATAGTCACTTGCTGTGTGTGTGTGTGTTGGTGCTAAGCTCTGGGACAAACTTAACCAATCTGTTTTATTGTGCAGCTTTAAATGAAGGCTTTCTGATTATAAATGATCACCCACATTTGAATACACACAATAGAAAGTGCAGTGTAGTACTGCATAATGGAAAAAAAAAATAATACGTACATGTGAAAACAGAAGTCACATGATTTCTTATCAAGACAGCATCAGTCTCTCAGGGATAAAATTTCCCTTCACAGCCTTCACCACAGGTTACACTTCTCTCTACAGTGTAATGTCAACACATATTTACTTGCTTTTGACTTGCTCGGTTATGTCCGTCTTATTTAATGACACATCTCGACAGAAGTGGCCTGTTTGTCTTCCTCTGTCTTTCACAATGCAGCTGCACAGCTTTTAAAAATAAACATTCAAATTATCAAGCAGCAGCTTCTGCAAACTGTAAAACACAGATATGTATAGAAGCAGCCTCTGGCTTATTCACCCCCAGTGGGTCGTCTATAAACCTTAACGCTTTACACATTTTATTTCCTGGCAACAACTGAACTTTTCACTGTGCTTTGGCTGAAAGGAAAATCACACTTTGAGGAATGTTCATCATGTTTTTGTTTTGTTTAATTGTTTCTTAGATGTCAAACTCTGTGGACTAATGAGGGCTAGCGTCTACATAATGTTCAAAAGTAAGTAGAATTACCTGGTCTTCCTCAGAACATTTGAAAGCTAACATTATTCTAGTCAAAACTGCATCAGTAAACTTATATGTGCCTTTTCTGTGCTATTTATGTAGCTGATAGTAAATTACAGAACTATTGATTTTGAATTAAAGGAGCTGTATGCTACATTCAGAGGATTAAAGGTCCAGTGTGTAGGATGTATGCTGCGTTCACATGCAATCAGGAAGATGGTAGACAGCAAAACGGATATTATTTTAGTGGATGAGAGCTGCTCAGTAAAATTAGGTGAGGCTGGTGGATGATACCGGCAATGGTAGATGGTGACGCTGTTCAAAATTTAAACATTTTAACGGAAATTACAACCAGATGTGATGTAGCTCCCTTATACAAAAAAAATACATAAAACAACAAACACAAAATAATTTTATTGAATATATTTTATTCCATTCTTTATAAACAACACGGCATCAACATCACAACATATCGTCATGTGTGTTTCATGTTACCATTTTTTCCTCTGCCATTCAGACAATGTTTTCCATCTGCCTGATTCCATTTGAACATAGCATTAGTGGCAAATAACAACCTGGTCTCACTCCGAAGTTGTCAAAATCCGACGCCTGGGCAGTGACTTGTTGCGTCAGACACCGACGAAAAAGCCGTCCTTTAATGTAGGCTTGATATGGACTGGTTGCCGTTATAGTTTAATGGTGCTCAGTGGTGTCAGGGGAAACGTGGCAGGACAAGAATGAAAGTTAAGGTGGCAAAAGTCCAAGTAGGGCGAGCAGGACGGATGTTGGATGGGTCAAACAAACACGGACTTTCACCTGGGAGAGTGGTGTTTGTGTCCCGTAAGATTCTAAAGCCAAACCCTGTTCTTTTTTCCTAAACCCAGACATGTAAGTTTGTTGTTGGAGGAAAAAAATATTACTTCGCATTGTTGCACTGACTTAGTTTATTTTGAAAGATAACGTATCTAAGCGGTAAATTTCCTGTGAAAACTGAAGAGTATTTTGAAAGAAGACAATGCATGCAACAGGCAGAACTTGACATGGCGTCCAAGGACGTCCCAGAACGGTCAACAGCCAACGCACCCAGGGTACCTTTCATGTTGTATCTGGACGTGGAAAGTCCGTGACCAAATGTGTGACAAGTGAGAATATGTTGCATCTAGCGGTGAGGTTGAAACACTAAAACAAACAACCCTATCTGGAGCCAGTGTTTGATTTGTCTGCTCTGGGCTACTGTAGAAACAACAGGGCAGATTTTGTGGAAGAGTAACCGCTCCATATGTTGATACAAATAGCTCATTCTAAGGTAATGAAAACACAAAAGTTCCTACTTCCTGGCTATTATAAGCTAATGAAAATATAGTTAAGAATATTTCACACCATTTCTGCCACACACTGGACCTTTAATAGCAGCAAACGACTATTTACTATGTAAAGATATAAAGGAGTGATGGTGTCCTGACAGGAGAATGAACTCCAGGCTCAGTTGGTCAGCGCTTGCATGTCAGTGCATGTGACCCCCTGTGTGTGTATCCCACTGGCGGCTAATCGCCACCAGTCTGCACTGCACTCATAGAGTGGTTACCACTGTTAATGGCGTCATGACCCATGACGAAGCATAATGCCCACCCTCTGGTTCCCCCTGAGGTTAACACTTTTAGTTCTCTCAACATTGTAGCTGTTGTTGCTCCAAGTTAGCACCGTTAGTTGCTAGCTACTGGTTCAGCCAGGGTCCTGAGCTACACAGATAGTCGTGTAGCAGGTGTCATACATTCAGGCAAAAGTGAAGCTCATAATAATTACAAACATCGCCCACGTCAACCAACACCTGACTGCCTCCACAGTGAGGGGTAACCAACAGGAAACAATGGTGGTTATCATGTGCAGACAATCTCTGACTCATAGATATGCTTTGGATATCATACGCAGCTCCTTTAATCAAATTCATACCACATATGGCCAAAATATTTCTTTTTTCTCATCAAGTTCTTGGTAGCAGCACATGACCTTTCAACATAAATGAATTAACAGGACTTCACCTCCAATCATGAAAACAAATGGGCTATAAAGAGTAAAAAAATGATGATAAAGGAATTGTTTAATGGAAATAAACACTGATATCTTGCTGTATTGTGTAAGTTTCAGAATGGAGCTGGATCTAAACTCTTCCAACATGTCTGTGGAGTCCTTAAAACCCGAGCAGGGGCCTGTGGAGTACCGCATTTCAGGCCTGATCTTTTACTGCTTCATCTTTGTCATAGGAGTGATAGTCAATCTCACTGCCTTATGGGTGTTTTCTCTCACCACCAAGAAGAGGAACTCCGTCACCGTCTACATGATAAACGTGGCGGTGGTGGACCTCACCTTCATCCTGCTGCTCCCCTTCAGAATGGTCTACCACCACCAGGACTATTGGCCCTTTGGGGACATTTTCTGCCGAATCAGCGCAGCTCTCACCATCTTCTACCCCTGCATGGCCCTGTGGCTTTTCGCTCTGATCAGCGCCGACCGCTACATGGCCATCGTCCAGCCAAAGCACGCCAAAGAGCTGAGGAATGTCCCAAAGGCTGTGGTGGCCAGTTTGGGGGTGTGGCTCATGACTCTGGGCAGCACTGTGCCGCTGCTCTTCTCCGAGGACGACCCCGATCGCATCTCCAACTTCACCACCTGCATTAAGATGCAAGACATCATCCACATGCGGCACGACAACCTCGTCAACTTTGTGCGCCTCATCTTCTTCTTCCTGGTTCCCATTTGTATAATGATAGGCTGCTATGTCGTCATTGTGGATAATCTGATACACGGGCGCACCTCGAAACTCAAACCTAAAGTGAAGCAGAAGTCCATCCGGATTATAATCACGCTGATTATCCAAGTGTTAGTGTGTTTCGTGCCTTTCCATGTGTGTTTGGTGCTTCGTCTGGTGGGGACAGGCAGAGACGGGGGGTTCAGCACATGGGCTGTCTTCACCACGTTTTTGATGAACCTGAGCACAGTGCTAGACATCATTCTGTACTACATCGTCTCCAAGCAGTTCCAGGACAGGGTGATCAGCGTGATTCTGTACAGGAACTATCTGCGAAGTGTGAGACGGAAGAGCAGGCACACGCACACCGGTAGCATCCGATCAATGAGCAACCTGACCAGCGCGATGATATGAAACAACCGTCAAACTTTCACGTCAAAAAACGGCAGACTCGTATGTAGAGTGCACACTTCGGCACAATGTAACACTGAATGCTTCAGTGTGTACATGGTTCATTATCAAAAGGATCAAAACTTGCAATTAATTTCCAAGGTGTAATTTACACTCACAGTATGGGAGTGCTGCTGTTGTGGCAAAAACATCTGTGTTCAGAGCTGATTGACTCACCCATGAGACTTGAGATGTTTTCTGTGCATCTTTGCTCTGGCAGACAAAGCACGACTATCTGTGGCTCAGGTGTAATACAGTCAGGCGAAAATAAAGCTCGTGATCATTAAAAACATAGCCCACAGTATTGCAGAGTCTGCTTTGTTATTATGCATAAACACTGAAACTCTTCTCAGCAATGTCAACCAATTTCTATAAAGGAGCCGACTGCCTCCACGACGGGGGGAAACCAACAGGAAACTATGGTGGGTTCTTAAAGGTTGCTGCTTTTGTTTGGTTGCATCTTAGTGGAACTTCGCCTCTGCAGCACCTCAGTCCAGCATCATGGGCTTAAAAATAACCATCAATGCTGTGTGATGTCATGCATGCAAATAAATTAGGTTTGCTTAACTGGTGTCAGTTCAGAGTGTCATTTTTGTGGTGTTTAAACTCAACCACTTGATACAAGACGTTATTTTAACACACACCACAGTGAAAGTTGCTGTTAACTTATTGACCAGGTGATGGCAGCATGGCACAGCTAGACCTCACCTACCTGCCAGATCCAGACAAACAGTGCTTTCTTGACTTTTAAAGTAGATAATGCAACATTTGTTATTCTCTGCTGTACAATTCTGTGTACTTATATCTTTTGTCTCTGCTCATTATCACGTTTAAACTGTCTTTACAAAAACAAACATTTCAGCTTTTATCCTGTGAAACAACTGCTCCACCTCATCACAGAGGAGCTGTTAACTACAGCTTCCTCAACCAGGAGTCAGACTGAAAGTGTGTTTATGGTGCAATGCGAATCATATTGATTAGATGTTAAATGATTCAGCCACTTGAAGTGCATTTACAGTAACATCCTCAAGAGATGTCAGCGAGGCTATTTACTAGATTTAAAGCAACCTTAACCTTAAAAGAGAAAATCTTTTCTGCACAGGGAGACTTTAATGTCAGGACTCAAAGTACAAGCACAACGATGAAAGATCTTGTAATTTATCCACAATTTATTCCTTGCAAAAAAGCCAGACAGGTGATGAGTTAGAAGGTACTGAATGTGTGACAGCTCTATCTCTATGAAGAGACTGTTTAATTTAAATGAAGGGAAAAAACTAAGGTTTGAATGTGACGCTTTTGATAGGTGTCCCACACAAACGTCACCCCAGCTAAGAATTGATTTGGTGTTGCCAATTGTTGAAATAATTGAGTTAGGATGTCTGTCGCACCTACACACTGGTCTTAACTGGATTAGACAGTGAGTCAGTGTGGCTGAGTAACTATGTAGTGTCTCATACAATTAGACAGTCAAGGCGCCCTGTGGTGTAACCACATGGACCCTGGTAATTTGTGGAGTGCTTATTGTATGGATGATCAATTGCAGACAGAACTACATATATTGCAATGCTTTGCAATTCTTTAATTCGGGTTGTATTAATGTTTTCTCACATTTTCACACTGAGATAAGACACAGTAATGTGGTGGTACAAGGATAAACTGCACTGCGAGGCTATTTGGTTCTTGGTTGGTTTGTACAGGGCTGGGTCAAGGGGTGTCCAGACTGTGAGATATAGATGGTCTAGATTTACACTGTGTTTAATAAGAGGAGGCAGACTACAAGATTTCCATCTCACATGGAATTCTGGGAACTGCAGTTCATCACATGATGATAGGTTTATTGGCTGCTGGACTACAAGTGGATTTATAACCAAGAGGTCAAAGGTCAAATGAAACATCAGAGGGTCGTCTATCTGTCCCACCTGTTAGACATCAAAGAAAAACCAGCCACGCTGCTCACAGCAACTGGCATTTAAAACAATTAAGTTTCCTGTCAAGTCCCTGTGATGAATTATCCGGAAGCTTTACCCGCTGTAATTCTAAATCTTCCCAACAAGTGCCTTTGTTGTAGAGAAATTAATGAAAACAAGATTGTCTTTCATAGGAGCTGATCTAACAGCGCGACAGCCAGCTGCTCTTCTTTGGGAATAAAAACAGTCAGCATTAAACACAGCTCGCACAAAATACTTTTTTTTTTTCTACCACTCGTGTGGAAAACAAATCAGGCGGCGAGCGCAGTGGCCATCTGTTTTGTTATTTGATATGTGTGAATACATGTTGTAATGACTTTGTTTGTGAATCACTCTGCGCGGCAGAACACACGAGAGCTCTCGAAGTGCTGGAGTGTTCAAAGCTAATCATATAATTGGACACAATAGTCGATGACAAATGGAGACGCTTGGAGCCAGCCAGCTGGGGAAGTGAATATGTAATCATTGTAAAATCATATCATTTTTGCATATTTGAAGACAGCTTAATAGAGTTTGCGTGTCAGCACACTATCAAATGATGATCAGAGACAGTGTTGCTGTATTTGTTTTTCTAAATACTGCTTTGTTGGACTAGTAATCTTTATCGTGATTAAAAGTGTTTCTCAAGAGTTTTTGTCTTACATGTTTATTTTACATGCTGTTTTGAATGTTGGAACAGATTTGGGAAGAATGACCCCTCTGAACTAGAAAAAAAGCCTACAGCAACCATAGCCAACCAGGGACACTTGTACCCCAGGGTATTCTGCAGTTGCCAGGAGCTATATATAAATAAAGATTATTAATTGCTCCATTATTTTGAAAAAATAGAAACTACAGTTGAAAACAATTACATGTTGCCACTGACAGACACCTGGTAATGGCTGAATTGTATATAAAGTGTTAAATAAATTGTTAAATACATACCTAAAAGTAATGGAAAAAGGGTTGAAAAGGTTAGATAAAAGTAGGACAGATAAATGGTGAAATTAGCTAAAAGTAATGTACTGAGTCAGCTGTAACACCTGAACAGTAAGCTACATGCCATTGACAGTAACTAAAAAACTAGTTAGCAGGCATGCAGATTCTAAACAGCTAGCCAAAATAAATACATTGTTGAAATAGATAGCTAAAAGTAACGAATAAATGTAGATAAGTAGATAAGCAGTGGAAATAGGCAAGTTGGATAAGTGGCTAAATGGTGAAAAGGCTAATAGTTAGCTAAATCCAATAGATTAGCTAGCTAAAGGTAGTGGATAAACAGTGGAAATCGATAAAAGTCATGAATAAATGGGTTAAATAGCTAGCTAAAAGTAGTACAGTGGAAATAAGCAAGTTGAATAAAATAAATGGTAAAAAGGCTAATACTTAGCTAAAACTAATGGATTAGCTAGCAGAAGGTAGTGGATAAACAGGGGAAATAGATAAAAAATATTTCATAAATGATGAAAAGGCTAATGGTTAGCTAAAAGTAATGAATAAATAGTTTAAATAGTTAGCTACAAGTAGATTTTGGAAATCGGCAAGTTAGTATTTTCAGCTAAATGGTGAAAAGGCTAATGCACGAGATATGAGTTGTTGCAGGAAGTTACTGCCAGAGTGACCTTACAGTTGGTTAAAATAAGGTAAAAATTCAGCCATGACTACTTCAAACAGAGTAACTCCTTGCGTTTGTAAGATCACTCCAGCGGCAACTCCCTGCAACAACTCAAATCTCGCGAGAGGTGAGATTTCAGAGGCAGACTTTCACTCTCTGAGTAAGTGCTTTGACTTGCCACAACAAACATGTCCGAATTTTTACCCGATTTTGACCAACTAAATCTGGATGAGCCATTTGAATTTGATGACCGCCCGTATTTATTTGAACATGGATGTACACGGACGCAGAGCTCATTGAAACTGAAGAGCGGACAAGGAGAGAGAGGGAGCAGCAACAGGCAGAGAAACATGTCTGAATCCAGCTAAAGGTAAACACAGACCTTCATTTCTCCTTTCCGTTATTATTGGAAATATACTCCTTGAACTGTGTGTTAACACGTGATGTGGTAGCTGGGCATTCATCCACAGTGGGACTCTGATTAAGGAGTTAACACGAAGGCAGAGAGCGGTTTGTTAACTTTATGCAGGCACTTCAGAGAATGGTACATGGACATATGCGTATGTGTGGTCTCTGAAAATACAAACAGAAATACATATATATAAAACCATGTATGGTTTCATAAATGCCTGTAATTTACTCAACTTAACTAAATAATAACTTAATGTACTCCACAGGCACATTAATCATACATTCATCACATTTTTTCCCATTTAGACACAGCACTACCGTATTAATGTGTAACAGTCACATAAGTTAGCTGCATTTCACTTCTGACAACACTTCAAGGCAGTAGGTTAGCTTAACAGGCCCTAACAAGCAGAAACGTTAGCTTACTAAACACAAAGAAATTATCTCCAGCCATGTCAATATTCCTAACATAAAACAACAAGAAGGACACGTAAACACGTAAAGCATAAACTGAAAGGAAATAACTTATAAGAGGTGCTTACATCCGTCACGAACGCACACCATATGTCCTCAGGTCCTCACTCCTTCCTCTGCCTGCAGCAACTGGTGAAAACCAAACAGAGCATGTGGCACTGAGCTAACTATGCAGGCAACAGCTCCTCCTACTGGCCACACAGAGGGCAGCAACTAACACTCCTGAGGGATTCTGCACAGTTATGTCGTCGGATAATTATACTTACAGTCCGAGCCTATCTGTGTGAGAGATATTTTGATGTTGTTTGACGCTGTCTGAGTGCCCTATTGTGTAATATAGCGCGTGCTCAGCCAGAGGTTCGTACTGGAGAAATGTCAAATATATAACGTCCTATCACTCATTTAGACAAAAGTAGCTCGGAAAATAGGGCCAAGGTTGAAAAAAACATTAGTTACCCTTTAAACTGTTAGCCGAAAGTAGAGGATACAGTGGAAATAGTTACATAAATGTATTAGACAAATGGTGAGAAGGGTAATGGTTAGCTAAGAGTGATGAATAAATGGTTAAAAGAGTTAGCTAAAGTAGCCGATAAACAGTAGAAACAGGCAAGTTGGATAAAAGTATCGGCTAAATGGTGAAAAGGCTAATACGTAGCTAACACTAATGGATTAGCTAGCTGAAGGTAATGGACAGACAGTGGAAATAGTTAGATAAAATTATTAGATAAATGAAGACTGGTTAGCTAAGAGTAATGAATAAATGGTTGTAATAGTCAGCTAAAAGTAGATAAACAGTGGAAATAGGCAAGTTGGATAAAACTATCGGCTAAATGGTAAAAAGGCTAATA